AGCAACTGGGAGCCTTCACCTTATGGATCGAAATCAGATTGCTTTTACACCACTTCATCAACTGTCAAGTGGCATGATGAGCTCTACAGCTTTTGATGTTTCTGGTTCCATCTTCATTATAAGGTTTTTGTATCTAAATGAACAGTGATTGTTTTTTCGTGTGTGTTCCTCTGTCCTTTTCATAATGATAACATTTTTAAAACTTATTTCAGTGGCTGTGTGTGGTCCACCCCTCTGCCCCACTCACTTCCTGCAGCAGGGAAACAATCCTTGTGTAGACTTCCATAATTTGAGGACTTCTTTCCTCCTTGAGTTGCTCTTCTCTACAAAGTGGACTTGAGAGTTGGCTCTTCTGGTAATTTTTGCACACAAATGTGCCTTTAAACTATCTTTTAAAGATCTTTGAAATTGTTAGAAGAATTATGCAGTCAAATTAGAAAATAGTGAATTTTTCCCTTCATTCTTACAGAGACATACTCTTTTCTACTGCAGTAATGTAATAATACCACACTTTCTGTTCCTTTGGTGCAACTATTAATGACAGGGTGATGTCACTTAGGCATTTAGAATAAATAAAAAAATCTTCTGCTTATCGTAGTTAGAGTGTAGCCTTCAAGGTGTGTTGTGGAGTGCTCTGTCAAAGTAATCTCTGTGCTCTGTCAGTGCTGGTTTTCTGTGAGGAACTGTAACTTGGAATCCAACAGTCCTGTTGCCTAAAACTTGCTGGGCGTTACAAAAAGGAGCAAGGAAGCAAAGAGTTTTGTTCCCAGTTACCACTGTCTGCTTAGTTGAGCTCACAGATGAGTTTCCAAAGAATTCCACTGGTGTTCCTGCATTATCATTTGAGTGAGGTCCTGTTGCTCCTCAGAAGCGAACAAATTGCAATTCTGTTGTGCTCAGCTGCTCCCTGAGCTGCAGTAATCCCGCTTTGCTGGGGGTATTGCCTCTTGGCAGTGCCTCTTGGTACTGCCTCTGTGCCTTGAACTGTCTCTAAGAGATCTGCTCTTTGATATTGTAGAGCTAATTGCCAAACTGATACAGTGAAAGTGTATGCAAGTGGCAAATGTTGTATGTTAGGAATTAATAGAAAGGAAGACTAAGGAATAAAGGATGGTATTCATGTATAATTTAGCTTAAGAAATGTGTAGACTACATCTTCTCTTGCCATGTTCTTGGAAATCAGAGGGAGGGTTGCTGTTTCAGTGGGCTTTCTTTGTAGACTTCAATTAGAAGAAAACCAGAGGAGAGAAAAAAGGAGGAAATAGTTACTTTGTTTGTTTAAGCAAGTAGCAGAGTAACCTGAAGCACAGTGATGAGTGCTGGAATTCTGCCCAGATACCTTTCTGGACAGGCATCCAGAGGATGCAGTCCCACATTCATGGCTGTGGGTTGCACGAAGCAAAGCTGTTTCCTGGCTGCCCCTCTGGGTGTGTGCTCCTGCTGCAGCCCTTCTGCTCTGGAGCTGTCTGAGCTCGTGGTGAGCCTTAGCAGGCAGCTCACCTGGTGGGCACTGGGCTGGGGGGAGACTTCTGGCTTTGGTTGAATACTCAGTGGCCTCATGTACGGATTGGATGAGCATCGGTGTCTGCACCAAGTAGAACGAATGCGGTTTGAGGAAAGCTGCCGCTGCTCTGAAAGCAGCGGATCAGATGGGCCTTGTAGCACAACTCCCAAGGCTATGTTTCCTTCGTGTCAGGCAGAGGAAGCAACTGCAAGGGAAGCTTTCCTGGATGTGAGCCTAATGGGCTGAACATAGCTAATGTAAAAATAGAAGGCATTTCAGTGAGGATAAGGCACCTTTGTGGTTACAGTTTTCTATGAAGAAACAATAGTAGAAAGAAGTACATTTCAGTAACTACTAGTTAAACAGAGGGGATGTATGAAAGATCTAAGGGAAGCAAACTGAGAGGGAGGGACCTGCTGATTTGTGTGTTCTCCAGTAGTTTGGCCTGGGTTGCACTAATAAAACAGGCAGCTGCGGTCTGTTCCAGCATTGCTTTGATAAGAAGGATCAGTTGGCACAAGAGCCTGCATCTGGGGAGTTGGAACAAATAATACGTGAATGTGAAAGTGAAAGGCTTGTCTCAGAAAAAGGAACAAGGTGGTAAGCAGTTAGCTGCAAATGTGGTTTAAGAAGGGGATGCTGTACTTGTGCTGAAAGACTTGATTATGCTTGATGCTGAGCTGTCGAAAATGCTTATCCAGCATTGCTTTCCATGAGTTCTAGGTTTTATTGCCCTCAATTTTTTTTTTTTTTCCCCCCCCCTCCCCCCCCCCCCCCCCCAAAGGACAAATTTTGATGTAATGATGAAGCTAAGCAACTTTGGCTGCTGCCAGAGAGGATTGTGTTCTCTCTTCCTCACATCCTGCTCCCAGAGCCAGTTATTGGAGCGCTAATTGCTTTGGGGAGAACAACAGGAGAGCTGCTGCTCCATCCGTTCCCTTCCCTCAGCTGTCACAGATCAGCCTGGTACAAGGCAGCAGTAATAGGGACTGACAGCGAGGGGACAGGACCACACCTCCTGGTAGCCAGCTGTTAGCCGGGTTTTCTTCTGACATGACAGCTTTAGCCTTGGAGCTTGACTTAGCCACCTAAAATTCACATCGGGACTTTGAAGAAACAGTCAGAAACAATTTCACAGCTCTTTGAGAACTTGGAAGGGCAGGTGGCACCCCAGAGGATGGGGAGGGCCCTGCAGTGACACTGCTTTCAGTACTGTTAGAAAGGTGGGAGCTGGGGGATTGTGACCAGCCAGCTTCATTGCATGTTGTAGGAGGTATGGGTGGCTGAAAGTGTTTGGCCCAGTGATCACCTGGAAAATACTAGTCTTTTTGTAAACAAAAACAGGAGCTTTTCAGATGTGAAACCAGGCTAACCCAGTCCAGCTTCTTTCTGTAGGCAGCTGAGACCTGCTGGATAGCAGCACTTGACTTGGTTGCAATTACTGCAGTAATTATTATTGCAGTTATGCAAGAAACAGTGCCATTGGAACTGGTGCTATAGGGAAAGCATAACTGGTTGGAAAACTGTACTTGGAAGTGGATGATCAAGGGCAGAGATCCGTTGGGTCTCTGAAGAGCTCTGTCTTGAAGTGCTTGTTGCCAGGTTTGGGGAAGATTTGGTCTATAGCATCTGATATGGTAAACCAGTGTAACAACAAGGGCTTTTTGATTCAGAAGCGTTCTGGCAAACTGAGGTAACTGCTGCACTTTTAAGCAGAAGGCTCCAGTTTCAGATGAATGAAGTGTCGCATTTGAGTGGGAGGAATCAGCTGTGCAGCCACAGTGGAGAATGAATGCAAAATAGAAACTGGAAGCTGTCATAGGCTGGCTGGCTGTAGTTCTTCACGTGCTTTTGTGTTGAAAAATAAGCTTCCAGAGTTCTATTTCACACTTGATGTTTATTATCAGGAGGGAGGTGGCTGAGCCATTAGCTGACTTGTTGGAGCAAGGTGCACCGTTCCTGTTAGTAGTTTCTGCCCAAACGTGATAATTTGGGGGATAGGGAGGCTCTGATGATGGAGTCTCTTGTGATTAAAAAAGAAAGTAAGTCATAGAAAGAATTCCCTTTAGTTGCTGTATCTCCGACATGGCTAAGGTTTATCAAATGCAGGAGGATCAAAAAAGTCCAGTGAGTTTTGTTCATGACTGTGTGATGCCATGTTACCACAGTTGGTCTCTCTTCATAAAAAGATGGCTTAGCAAGACTGATGTGGACAGACTTTGCAGCTTGTTTGAAGGAAGTGATGAGCTGAAACCCCTGTGAATTCTTGCAACAAAACTGCACCTTGCAGCAGGTTTTAGTTTGAGGCTCTGCTCTGGCTTTGCAGTTTACAATAAAGTTAACTTTACAGTTTCTAACGTCGCTTTATTTGAAAGGTGTTAACTGCTTGTATTGTACTGATGAGGCCTAAACTGGAGTCTGACAAAGCTGTAGTAAGGTGATAAAGCTGAACGCTGGTGGGTTCTTGCTTTGCTTGTGGAATCAGTTGTCTTCTCCCCCTGCCCTTTCGCTGTAGTTGTTGGTGTCAGTATTTCAGTAGCCAGCATTATAGCATCCCACCGATAGCAGTGTGGGCAGAGCTGGTGCTGCATTGGATTATGGCACCTGGGAAAAATAGTTCGAATGCAGAAAGCAGCAAAGGTGTTTTGCTGCTACGGGAGAAGTTCAGTGTTACACTGCGGATGAGCCATTCGTAATATGTGTGTGAACACTGTGTGTGCTTGGTGCTGCTGACGTACACAGGCTGAGCTGTTACTACCTGCTGTCCTGACAGACTGACAGGAAAGATGGAGTGCATTTCAGTAGTAGCATTAGAAGGTTCTCAGCAGTATTGCTGACCTGTTACTCAGACTGCAGTAGCAGTTGCAAATGCAATTTACTTCTAGGCTTGAGAAACTGCTGTTGTTTTCTGACAGCAAATTATTCTCATTGCGGTGGTTTTTAGTTTGATATTAAGCATTGATGGGTTAGGAGCAGAAAAAGGAGGGTGATGTAAAGCATTGTGATAAACAAGAATTGCCTGTTTGGGTTAACGGGAATGAATGGTTGTTTATCTTCGTGGTAGAAGATGATGGCTGGCCTACTTTGTGTTTTTCTGTCTTTGCTTTTGACAAATGGCCATAGCAAGTAGCAGAAAAAAACTGCTTTGAATATGTCTGCAGGTACTTGTTGCAGTCTGTATGTCTCATCCATCTGTAGTGTCTTTCCAGAAATATTTAAGTATGGATTTATGTAGGGTGGTGTGCCAAGAGCATGTGGCTTAGCTCAGTAACTGAAGTCTGCTGTTTGTGTAGGAGAGAGGGCTCCACCTACTGGAAAAACATACAAGTTGATAGACTGTGTTCAGAAGGAGGAGTTCAATAAGTGTTTTCTGATGTCCTGTCTCATGGTTGGGAATGGGACCATTGGTGAGGAAATAGGTGTGCGTTTTAAAGTCTGAGCTCTGAAAATATGCTCGTAGCTTTTTTGATGTTGACTTCATTTTTTTCTTTGATAGGAACATCATCTCCAACGGGCTATCTCAGCACAACAAGTATATGGAGAGAAGAGGGATAACATGGTTATACCAGTCCCAGAAGCTGAAAGTAATATTGCATACTATGAATCTATATATCCTGGAGAATTTAAAATGCCAAAGCAGCTGATTCACATACAGCGTAAGTAAAGCAGTTGTTGGAGCCTACACCAGAAACTTGATTTTTACCAGCAGTTATAGATCACTCTTAAATGCCTTTTGAGCTCCTGTCAAATCTAGCTTGGGAGCATGTATTTCTTCCAGCATTTATGCAGTGTGCACTCCCGTGTCATACCTTTTCAGAGGAATATTAAGCTCCTCTTCAAGAAGATAACGTCTTTCTTATGTCTATATGTTTGTACTTCAATTTTAGCAGTTTCACTGAGTTGTATATATGTTAGGATGCTGCTGGTGTTGGAACATAGCAGCTGCTCTGCTTGGATGTGGACCTTGACGTGAGCACATTACTTTGGACACCTATATTGCAGAACTGTCTTGTGGTGTTATTTTTTAAATTCTGATAATCTGTTGTGTGTATACATAGCCATAGTTACGCCTTGCTCACTGGCTTAATGTGAGGCTTCTGTGTCAGTCTGATCTTCAGTAATAAGCTGAGTAATAAGCAGCATGCTCTAATAAGCAAATGGAGAGACTAATACTAGGAGTCTTATATGCTGATGCTAAGGTGCAGTTTTTCACTCTTCTTTTACTTATTACTAGTGGTCTCCTAGTTGCTATGACAACATTCAGCTGCATTTTTTTAAAAGCAAGTCATACTTTTCACAATGTGAAATGCATGCTTTAAGAAATCGATAGTTCTGAGAAACCAAAGCAGTTTGCATGAAGCTGAGAACCAGGGGATGTTCTGTAATACATGGTTTATAATTGAAGGTTCCCTGCCACGATGCATAGACCGTGCTATTGGACTAGTTTGGTCTGATACCTTTGGATCAGAAAAGTCATTGAGAGGGTTTGTGAGGTCTCTCATACACTGTGCACGTAGTTCTCTAGGAATACCTCTTAAAGCATTTAAGCTGGAGTCTTAACTTCTGACATGGATGCTACAACATGAAATTGTAGAGCATGAGATGGTAGTGAAGTCTGACCAATACAGCAAGTTCTCCTTGAAAGTAGTGGGGTCAAATACCTCTGAATGTTTTGGACACTGTAAAGCTTTCATTAGTTAATGAAAGCATGCTCAAGTAGATATCAGTGTCTATCCTTGATTTCAGTCATATAATTTATTTCAGTAAAAAAGGCAGGTGTTACTTCTAAGCAGTGTACAAACGTTATCTTGGTTTTTGTCTTCAGAAGGATCTGGCACATACTGCAGACACTGCTATTAGAACAGAACATTTCTGTAGTAAAACAGTGAGTTGAGCTTAATTTGTATCGTTCAGCTTTTAGTTTGGATGCTGAGCAGCCGGATTATGACATGGATTCAGAAGATGAGGTCTTTGTCAATAAGTTGAAGAAGAGAATGGATATCTCTCCTTTGCAATTTGAAGAGATGATAGACCGACTAGAAAAGGGCAGTGGTCAGCAGGTATGGTGTTGCTTTGAATAAAAAATCTGAAATGTGCATTGTCTGTAATGCCATATGACAGTGACATACTGGGTTTTACTTTTAGCCAGTCAGCCTGCAGGAGGCCAAGCTGTTGCTGAAAGAAGATGATGAATTGATCAGAGAAGTATATGAGTACTGGATTAAAAAGAGGAAAAACTGTCGAGGGCCCTCTCTTATCCCAGCAGTGAAACAAGAGAAGCGAGATGGCTCCAGCACAAATGATCCTTATGTTGCTTTTAGAAGACGAACAGAAAAGATGCAGACAAGGAAAGTAAGTAGACTAATGCTTCCCTGTCACTTGTTTCTCTTCCTTCTCTTCCCTCTCATAAAGTAGCTGATCTAAAGAGACAAACTTGCTAAGTAGTGTGAAGTAATACAAGTTGGCTTTTTGTTTGCTTGGCTTTTTCCCTTTTAATTTGCAAGAAAAAAAAAAAAAATTAACTACTTTAGACCAGCTGTTGAAGGAAGTTTGCATTCAGTAGTTTTTGCTCTCTAATTTAGATGCTAAACCTGCTTGTGATGGCAGAAAGCTGTAGCTTATTGGCAGATGCATCTGGTTATCTTCATTTTTGTGTGTGGTTTAAAAAACCAAATACTTAGAATTTACTTTTTAGTTCAGATTATGTAATTTAAATGATGTGGGAAAACATAAAACTACATTTGTATCTACAGAATCGAAAAAATGATGAGGCGTCTTATGAGAAGATGCTTAAACTGCGTCGAGACCTGAGTCGTGCAGTAACCATCCTGGAGATGATAAAGAGAAGGGAAAAAAGCAAGAGGGAGTTGCTGCATTTAACACTGGAAATTATCGAAAAGAGGTAACATTTCTTGCAAATGTGCTACAGAAAGCTTTGGAAACTGCTGTAGATTTCAATTCTCATGAATATTTTATAAAATACGAGAGATCATCTTAAAATAAAAAGTTTGAATTTTTCTGCTGTTAGCTATATAGTATATTTTCATTTATGGCTCTGAAGAGCAAAATTGAATTTAGGGAGTCGCTCATTGTGAAAAAGCAGCCTGCATTGTTCTGTTGTATGTGTATTCAAACATTTGCATCTCATGTTGTGTGTATTATGTAGGAAGGAAGAATATAGCTTCAGGTAAATTCCTTTAGAAATTGATATGTTAAACTACTTAACTGTGTAGATTAACGAATATCCCCCTGAAGAAGACTAGCAGGCATTTCATTCAGTATGACATACTGTTCTGTGAGGAGTTTCCAACTTGTGTTCCTGCTGACATCCTATTTGACAGCTGTGCAGGAGACCAAACGCTCCACTTTCTCAGCTGTCACTTTCACAATGATTTGAGAATCACATTTGAAATGTGGAGTTGTTCTTTTAGGCAGATGGTATTTAGAATCTGAATGGACTTATCAAATTTAAGTGTCTGTGTTTGAAAACTTAGGATGTTTACAGTCAGTACTGTAAAGCTCTAAAACAAACCTCTTACTGATTTTAGTTTGAGTTCTTGGGAACACAAGCTGAGTCTTTGCCTTTTCTATCAGGTGCTCTGTTTTTCTTGTCTAGTAGAGTTAGGGGAGAGATGCACTAGCTTTTTAAAGAAAGTAAGCTCTTGAACACAATTACTGAAAAATCTGACCATCAAATTAGCATTGTGCACAGGTCTTGAAACATATTGCATTTCGTGATGCTACGTCTTACAAAGCTGTGCCTTTACACAAAGAGGGTTTCTGAATAAGGCTCTCTTCCTCACTGCTAAACAATTTTTGTGATAAATTTTTTCTTTTAAGTGGTACTGTCACCGGATAAGGAGGGAAAGAACTTGTCCTGTTCTTCCTTCAGGTTTTTGTTTCCTCTTCTTCCCTTTGCATTATTTTTTAGCAGACAGTTATCCTTGTTTGTCAGAACTAGGCATTGCAGTAAAAATTTGCACACTATTTGTCTCTTCTGCAGCAGTCATTTTTGAACTTCATGCTGACTTGGGAACTTGCCCCAAGTTGCAAGTATTGTTATTCTGTGTTTGACTGTTGCATGTTTTGGTGTGTTTTTACCAGTGTTACGAATATTCGTAAGAGTGATCTTATGTATGTATTTTTTAATTACAGGTATAATTTGGGTGATTACAGTGGAGAGATTGTGTCTGAGGTCATGGCACAGCGGCAGCCAATGAAACCTACCTATGCTATTCCCATCATTCCTGTGACTAACAGCAGTCCTTTCAAACATCAAGAAACTATGGAACTGAAAGAATATAAAGTTAAAGTGAGTAATGTGGATAACAAAGTTGTTGTATGCTGTAACATAAGCAAACTACGGCATTTCAGGATATATCTGCAGAAAATATTCATAACTGGGAGGGAGGTGGGAGCTTTTGGGTGCTGGAAACAGTCTAGCAGAGCTGCTGTAGAAGTAGAATGCTTTGTTCTGTTGGAGTGATGAAAATCTAGAAACTAATGGAGTTCCTCAGGACGAAAACAGAAGGAATTCAGATGAACTACAGACAGGATATTTACAGTTCTATTAAACTTCTGCACTGGTTGATACTGATGTTTTAATCAGTTAATGTCCCTGAAGTTAGGGTGTTCTGAACAAAGTTGTATTTGTTGCCCAGATATTCAGTCAAGATAGGACTGGTAAGATAAAACCCTTAGTCTGTTGTGAATTCATGTAGCTATTTTAATCCAGAGGTGTGCTTGACTCAGTGTATGTATTTTGATGTGAGCCACTGATATTCCTACTATGCTGTATTTCTGTGTTTCATAGATTCATAGAATTGCTCAGGTTGGAAGAGACCTTAAAGATCATCAAGTCTAGCTGCAGCCTAAACATACTACTCTGGTTTTGTACTAAGTATCAGTTAGTGAATAGTGACCAGTGTTTTCTGCATCCTGCTGGCTTTTGCCATACAAAATGTATCTACAGTGCCAACAGCTTAGCATGTTAAATACATCACATAATAGCAGAAAAGCTGAAGTACATTTGGATTGTGCACAGATTTCTTGTACCTCAGGAATATCCAAGAACTGTTTGGGATCTGACAGGATACCTTGAGTCAGTCAGTGCTTCCACTGATAGCAGGACACTGTATTTGAGATTGCTGGAGTGAACTCATCTATGAGTGATGCTGGGTTGGTGCAGTGTCTCAGAGCTTGGAGGAGGCACATTTGTCAGAAACTTAGAAAATGCATTTGAAGCTGCATGGGGAAATGAGTTTAATTTTTGTGTTCAGAGATTCTGGGTACCTTCGAGGAGGTCACTTCTGCCTTTTAAAGCATTATTTGGTTCTTGATTTCCCTGTCACTGCATAAACACCTACGAACATCAGCCTAACAGCACTGCTGTGTACATGTTGGTCTGCTTCCCCAGAGCAGTGTATTCACTTTGACTGGTGTTCTGTTGGGATGGCTACAGAGCAAACAGTGCTTAGTTCCACTTCACATATTAAACATTTCAGTTTTTAGAAGTGAAGTACAAATATTCTTGAAAGGTCTGCTTCTGTAGCTATTACGATGCTAGCGTGAAGATGTTAATGTTTAGTTTGCTTACATAGTAGTTTTGCAGAGCTACTTTTGTACTCTTATAAAATGATGTGTGTAAAAGTTTGCTGCTGCTTTTCCTTTCAGCAGGATAAATCCGATGTTATTCGGCCCAAAAGAAAGTATGAGAAGAAGCCAAAAGTCTTACCTTCATCTGCTGCTGCTACTCCTCAACAGACGAGTCCTGCTGCACTGCCAGTCTTTAATGCTAAAGATTTGAATCAGTATGATTTCCCTAGCTCGGATGAAGAACCCCTTTCCCAGGTAGGATCTCTAGAATTCTCCCTTCCTGTTAGGGAAGGAATAGTAATAAAACTCACACACTTACTAATACCTGCACTCGCCCACCCTGCTTGCATTTTTGCAGGTTTTGTCTGGTTCTTCAGAGGCTGAGGAAGAAAACGATCCCGATGGTCCTTTCGCCTTCCGTAGGAAAGCAGGCTGTCAGTACTATGCTGTAAGTAGAATTTCCTTCTGTACAGTAAGACAGAACGTTGTTGATGGGAAAACTTGTGTGTTTAATTGTTTGTGATTATTTTAAGCCTCATTTAGACCAACCTGGCAACTGGCCATGGAGTAGCCCTAAAGAGGGAAGACTAGGAGATGTGCGTTACAGATACTGCTTAACCACTCTGACAGTACCCCAGAGGTGTATTGGGTTTGCACGAAGGCGGGTCGGCCGTGGAGGAAGGTGAGTGCTGTGTAATGGTTGTGATTGTTTTTTTGGTTGTAAGTTTATACATACAAATTTATATATTTGTTTACATATAAAAATTTATGTATTTATTTATATATATAAAAGTCATCTCTGAAATGAGCAAAGATAAAATGCACAAAGCAAACAAAAAAAGAAAAAAAGAACAGCCCTCAATATTACAGAAGTTGGTATTTTAAATGCTTCCATTTGATGGCTTCTTCAGCAGATCAGTGTCTCCATTTTTGTAGCAGACACTGCTTTAACATTGCTTGCTGAGAAGTTTCTCAGCTTTGTTTATTGTCAGCAGTGCTCAGTTCTGAGGTGAAAACAAATGTAGTTGCTTCATATTGAAGTGAGTGGCGTAGTGTAAGACAGCGTACTGTGTTTGGAAGTTGAAATAATAGATGTTTGATGAAAATGTTTTTCTTAGTTCAGTCCTCTTATAGAGGAGAATTTTGGAAGGAATTTTTAGAAGTGAAAATAACAGTTAAGTTCTGAATGTTACCAAAAACCTTAATGAATTCAAGTCTGTTAATTCAAGCATTTTACTTTTGACCTACTGTAATGGTTAAAAAGCAATTATGTGTCACTTAGTGTCTTTAAGTGTGCTTCTGTAAACAATGTGTATCTTGAAATCAGCTTTCAAGTCGTCTTTTTTTATCATAATTGGGAGAAATTTGTGATTTGGCATTCAGATTTGCTTAGAATCTGTTAGTGTATTAGCAGGTGACGTTAGGAGCTGCAGGCTCATAGTGGCATTTTGATTGGGATCTTACACTTTTAGTTTTTGGTTCTTTGTGCAATGATGGTAGGTGTGCTGATGCGTTAGTAAAGCATTTAGGTGGAATTTGCTGTAAGGGGGCACTTAGTTACTTAAGCATTTCAGTGTCCATTTTTATTGTACTCCAGGAATGTTTGAACCTGTTGGAGGACTTCTGCAACTGACATTGCGGTGCCGCAGTAGCTCCACCATGGTGTACATCAGTTATTTATACAGTAAAAGCTAGAAAAAGAAACCTAAACGTGCTACTTCCTGTAAAGCACTAATGATATAGTCATACTTCCTGTGCCTGTTTTCAAAATCTGTGTGTTCTGGAGCAACTTTGTGGTTTCTTCTACTTTATGTATATCTTCCCCAAGCACACGTGACAAGCTGGTGACTTCCTGGTGTTTTCCTTTGGTGTTTGCCATGTGTAATTCTGCATTGTTTTCTTTTAGGGTGCTGCTGGACAGAGCGCATTCGGACTACGATAATACATTTCATCAGCTGGATTTGGAAATGCTTTCCTCATCACAACACTCTTCAATCAGTCAATTTGCCAATACCTCAGAAACAAATACCTCGGACAAATCTTTCTCGAAAGACCTCAGTCAGATACTAGTCAATATCAAATCATGTAGATGGCGGCACTTTAGGCCTCGGACACCATCCCTACATGACAGTGACAATGACGAACTCTCCTGTAGGAAACTGTACAGGGGTGTAAATCGAACAGGCACAGCACAACCTGGGACCCAGACATGCAGTACCTCTATACAAAGTAAAAGTAGCAGTGGTTCAGCACATTTTGGTATGTTTACTTTGACAAACTTGCTTTTAGAAATACTGAACTTGGCTCAGAGAATCCTGAATGTGGTTAGGTCGTGCATACTTTATTTTGATGATAGCAGCCTGTCTTTTATCTTTGCTGCACAGAATGCTTATCCTTAGTTACTGCCAACAGTAATAGTAGTGTAACGCATCTCAAATTTATGCAGACTGCCTTAGTGGATATAGTTAAGGTTTTAGAAAAGAAGGTGGTGGTTTAGAAACAGTTTTGTTTGAAAATTAAAGATACTCTGATTTAAATATTGATACAAAGATTATGTTCTAAATTTTTTTGAAATGTGGTGCTTTGGCTGAAATGTTTGCATTTAAACTCCCAGTGTGCTTATAAATCCTGAACTGGACGTGGTAAAACTAAATACCATCTGCTGTCCAAAAAATAACCCCATCTACTGCCATCTGTGCTGTGCATGTGCGCGCACGCTTGGCAGAGCTCTGGGACTCATCCCCTGTATATCCCACCAGCACGTGCCAGGTGGCTTTCATAGAACCTGAGTTACAGAACTGAGGAACTGACTGTCAGGAGACTTGATGAAACTTGCTGCAATGGAACTGAAATACTGTTAGATAGCATCTCTGTATTGGGCTCATCACAGCAAGAGGCTGGTGCTTATGTGGTTAGCATACGACCTAGGGAACTTGAGTTTTGGTCTCACCTTTTTATAGGAAGGGAACTGAAGTGGGCTTCTTTTTTGTTGTTGTTGCTTTTTAAAAACAACAACAACAAAAAACAAACAAAAAAACCCATATAGTTTTGCAAGTGTTTTACTGCAATTTTTTTAAAGATTAAAATCATATTTTCCCTTTCAAGCTACAGTTTTGAAAAAAACAAACAAAAAAAAAAGCTGGGAAACATAGAGGTGAGGTGGGTATAGGTGCATATACTCAACTTCCTGGATTGTGGGATGTTTTGGGGACTTGCTGAATGGTATTCTGGTATCTGATTAATCCTCCTGTTCACCAGTATATTTTGTCCATTTTCTCATCTTAATTCCTTGCACCCCCTTGTTTTTCCTGAAAATTGTTCCCTGTTTTTAGAATGATTGAATAGCTTTATTCAGCTCCCTTCTTTCATGCTTCCTCTCCACACTGTCCTAGAGTGGGTCCTTATCCCCAGCACCACCCTCCACCTCTTCTTTCATGACTCTTCTTGCAGGAAAATGTGTTAGGTCTAAAGCTGGGGGTTGTAATCTAAGTGGTGGCTTTTAGTGTTTGAATTCAGGCCCTTCTCTCAAATGAGGTTTCATATCAGTAAATCATGTCTAGAACTGGAGTGTCATCTGCCTAATGCAAAAGAACATACCTGTGCAGTGGATAGTTTATTCTCTGTAAGTAGTCTCTGAAATATTGATAGGCAGTGCATCATACCTGGAAATGAGACTTAACAGAAATAAGCAATTTGAGTTCAAAACATGTGTCGGTGTATATATGAGTACATATAAAAGATTCCTTAAGAATGTTTTCCTTAAAAAGATGGTTGGAATACCTCCTAACTGGAGGTAAGGAAGTGGAGTTATTTATGGTGATGAATTCTGTACCAAATTTAATTACACGATTGTGTATTGAAGCATGTACGAGTGCCTGGCATATTGTGTTCATTTGTGCCTGGAATTCTATAGATGTGGTTTATCGGTGTAAAATAAGCAAATTCTGGAGCTCAGATTCATGTGTATTTATTAAGTGTTAGGTACAGGAAAAAAGTGAAGTTCATCTGCATGCTTTAAGTTCTGAATGTTTATCTGAGTACTTCAAACAAGTTCCCATAATCTCTGGATAGTCATCTGTTAGCAGTGTGGTGGGTAGATTGTATTCTTGGAATTACTCATAATCTTAATTGGATTCCTATAGCTATGATTCTTCCGTGTATATGTGGTGTGATGATGGTTATCTAGGATTAGGAGTTGGAAACCAGCGTACAGCAGTTCGCCTTGGTGCCATTCTATTTACTAGTGTTCTGCTGCTGCTCTGAGTTGCAGTCCAGCCAAATTGCTTACCTTTGGGTAAGATTCTGTAGCACTTAGCAGAGGTGGCCACGTTGCTGTGCTCCATCATGTGATGTGCTTTTTCCAGTTCCATATCAAAGAGGCTTAAAGAAATGGAGCGTTTCCCACCTGGAACAGTCCAGACATGCTGATGTCAAACAGAGTCTTCCACAGCCATTTATAGACAGGTCTGTCGTATGTGGGCAGCACAGGCAAGAAGCTGTGATAGTGTCTCAAGTCCTAAGAGCTGTGCTGTGACATGCCATTCTTCTCTGGCTACAGGAGGCTTTGGTTTTTGTCCTGAAGACCTGGAGAGAGATTTCCTCAAAGAGCCAGGAGGTGATTCGTGATGATTTTTGCACCTGAAGAAGCAGGAGCTGTTCTGATACTGGTTGTCAAACTGCTCAGCATTTTAAAAAAAAAAAAAAAAAAAAAAAAAAAAAAAAAAAAGTATGGAAGATGGAGTTGTTACCATGAGATTTTCTATGTCAGCTGGAAAAGGGTATCTTATACCTCTTCCAAGTTATGTAGAAGCATGGCTTGTACTACGCTTGCCTTATGTGGAAGGTTAGACTTCAGCAGCAGGATCAAGTAGCCACGAAAAGTAGCATCACCTTTGAAGAGAGGTGGCCCCTTCTCATCTTGCTGAAGAACTAGAAAAGATGCGTTTTTACCTTCTAACAAGAGAAGCTGATTCAAGGATTTTCAGGCATATATTACCAAGGGCACCAGTAAAAAGCAGGCAAGAGTGTAAAAACATGATTCTGGTGGAGGACTGACTATTTTTCAGTGGGCAGAACTACTCACTCTGAATAAAATGAACAAAAATACTTAAGGAGCCATTATTGATGAGTCTGTGTGTCCAGATTATAATCCTTAAGATGCAGTCTTGCATATCTTAATAATTTGGAGTATGCAGTAGCCAAGAACGTTCATCTGAAGTATGTGTGTGCCAGAGCTCATTTTCCTTGTTGAGATCGATCCAGGTAGCCAGGCAAATGGCAAGCAGGTGGTTCACAGGCCTTCACACTGCATCGAATTCTGGAGACTTCCTCCTGCAGGCTTGTTATTGATGACTGCCTTCACTATTTGAGTGTCTCATCTGGTAATCTCAGGTTTGAGACCCTTGTAACTGTACTGCGTAGATGGTTCTTTCCCAGCCTTGTGTTTAGTGGGCATACCAGAGACGTCTGTTACTAGCAAAGATGAGAGACTCTGCCTTAAGACCAGGCTTCTGTGATGCGTTCTGTTCTTTTCTGCCTTCTTCTCAGGGGAAAATTGGGTCTCTTTGGAGAGGTCTGCAGGTCTGGTTAGTCTCTGCTGAATTCTTGGTACTTTGAAAGGAAGCCTGAGTGTTTTGGCAGATGCCTTCCTGAAAATTCTTAGTTACCTTTGATATTAGAGATGGTACTTTACGTGCAAACCTACAGACATACAGAATATCATTAAGGAATCCAGAATAGTTTACCTTGCCTTCCCTTTCTTGTAAAGTGGAAATGCAAATTATTTGCTACAAGTTGTTTGTTGGTATTCAATCATGTTGTATGTGGGAATTTCCTAGAGTATTTATCCCAGTAAGCTTTGATGCTTTTCAGAAGCAAGTTACGATGTGCAAAAGAAAAAAAGCAAGTTGTCCTGTGCACACTGAAGGGCTTAGTGGGATGGTGAGCTATGCTTTCATTTCCCAAGTGTTTGTAGCATTCCTGTCTCCAGTTCAGTAACAATGCTAGATGGGTCACTGCTAGTTTTTGGTAGTTTAGTGCTTATAGTGTTCTTGGGAAGGGTAACTGCTGCCCTTCCTGTGCCCTGCTGCCTCCTACCTCCAGCTAAGGCACTTCTTTCCCAGAAGGAGGCTGGAGGGAACTTCTCTTTGGCAGTTCCTCATTCCAGAGCAGTAGGACCTGTTGCATTTTTTTGTTGTTGTTGTTGTTGCTTTCATGCCATCGCTGGCTGTTCACATATTTATTTAGCTCTTGTATTTGCAGTAGTTTCTGCACTGCTGTCTGCTTTATTATTTTCCCTTTTCCAGATACCTATTTTCTTATGGGAGGGAAATCCTGGTCAGTAGAAAACACTGATGCTTTTAATAGCCCCTTTCAGTTACCACTGGGAATTAACATCCTTAGTTGCTCTGTGGTCGAGATGTTGAGATCCTAACTGAACAAACAACGAGTTCCAAATTAGATGTGCTTTGGGAATAGCAGAGGCGTTTATAGCCTACCTTAGAGTGAGTTGGAGGAGGAAATTTTGAGAAAAAAACCTACTTCTCTGGAAATGCTGTGACTTGGGGAAAGGACTGGTGCTTACTGAAACATTTGCACGCTTGTCTCTTTGCTGAGACTTTGTAGTTGCTCCACTGCTTCTTGCTCAGCTTGAAGTCAGCTGGAGTAAGAACTTGCTCTGAGTTGTTGGGTATGTGGGCTTGTGTAAATTGTTAAGACTTTGCATTCCATGCATGAATGGTCACACACTGACCGTAGAGTGAACTGTATGTACCTCAAGTAGCCCGTGGTGTTCTTGGGAAGTTGGTTTTTAGGATGGTGGGCAGCCAGATACCAGAGCATAGCAAGCACTTGTGGCTTTCTTGCAATGGCAAGCAGTAAAAACCCTTGTTAGTCATTGTTTTCTGATTGTTTTCCTACCACTGGGTAGGGAGTACATGCATACATCTGGCATCCAGCTTATAACTTGTAGCTCTAGAATTGCAGAGTTCTGACAGCAGGAACTTGAGGCTGAGTTCTGTTGGGCTGAAATATAAGGCTGTGTTAGGAATAGTCAGAGGCTTAGTAATTCGTGTTCTCATAGTGTCTTAATGCCTTGTTAAAGTAAATAAATCTTGAACTTCTTTTCAGGAAGTGAAACATCTTTGGGCCTGGTGCATCAAACACTAAATCACTCTGATGGCTCTAAGTTTCTTCAGTCTTCTGAATTCACTGGTGAGAACTTGCTGTGCAGTAGAACGCTGTTAACCAGGCAGTATAAGCCAGATAATGTCTCATAAGACAAAAATGTGATGTTCTGGATTACTTAATACCGTGTTACGCTTGCTTTGCATGCGCATTAATAACAGTAACAACTCATTGTTCTCTTGTACAGCAGAGATGTGGTGCTCTTCTGTATTTCTCTTGGGAAAATACTGTAACAGGAAATAGGGTTGTCCTCCTTCCCCCCCACAGTTCAGCAGTTCAGTAGTTACAGATCTTCATTATTTGGAAGCCTTGGTTATGTGGTGTTGCATCTTTTCACCTGATCAGCTGCCTTTTTAATGGCCATCACCTCAGCCTGAAGGGCCAGAGAATCTTCTTCAAGGATTGTTAGGTGTTTCTCCACCAATATGATCTCAGTGCTTATGAGAATGGATATTTAACTTGATGCTATGAACTTGTTGCTTTTTTTTAATGACTCTGAATATCTGATTCTTCAGATACTTGCTGGGCTTGAAACATTCCTGACTGGTTTAATCAAAGCATCTTCCATTCAGGTTAAAAAGGGGGGGTGCTAGTAGAGGAACCAGGAGTACTTGTATGTTTTCTGCTCTCCAGGGTACATTCTCTGATACTTAGGAAGCTGGTTCTTGTAGTCACTGTTTCCCTTAATCTGTATTCTCCTGCATCAGGGAAGCAGAGTAACAGCAAGCAGGGCACCTCACAGTAACACTGCAGGAGCGGTCAGGAGTGGGGCTGTGGCTGTTAGAAAGCCAAGGCAGTTCTTTGGGATTTCTTCCTTACGTGGATGCTGCAGTGAGCCATCCTAAATGGCTTCAGCCACTTCTGGGAAGGACTGGCAATTTCAGAGGAATGAAACACAGGCTGTGGTTTTGAGCTGGTGCACACTAAGTGCTGTTGTAAAAGTGGGTAACATTGTGATAGTAGTTGTGTGCTGCAGTACGAAACTGCTGACAGCATCTCTGTGAATCTGTGCTCAGAGGACAGGGCTCCTTGAGTACCAGCGTCCCATTGCATTTGGGAGAGATGTTAAGGTATTGTGCAATGCAGAGATATTTAGTGGCTTAATTTGAGAAAGAAATTGCTGTGTAATTACATACCAGAAAGATAGTATGCATCTCAGTCACTTAAATGACGGTAAGAAGAACATACTGCTAGTGAGCGTTGAGTGGTGTGCTGTGAAAAATTGGAGTTAATGACAGGGTTTGTAACTGTTGCTCAGAAGACATTAAATAAATCTGTAAGCAGTCATTTATTCATTCAGTCAGGCTCAGTAACTGTAATATTTCTTTCCTTGTGTTCCTATCTGGAAATTCCCAAAGTGACTCAGTGCTCTTTTGATCCCTTTCAGTAATCTGTAAACTAGAACGCACTTTTTTTGTTGCTGAAGTGTTGCACTCACCCTGTTGTAGAACAGGTGTGTACGTTGTGTGGAGCAGTTAAATGAAGAAGGTAACAGCATAATGTGTTGCAGTGACTTAAAATCCTGGCAGCTGTCAGTTCAGAAGTGTACTGAGATTTGATGCCTGTTGCAAACGCTGTGCTGCTGGCAGGTGGGTGAGAGCCATTCCTGTGGCCTTGTCTCAGAGTAGAACTGGAGCTGCTGCCTCCTGGCAGCCATCACAGCTGGGTGCTGCTCTGCGTGGGGCTGTGCCTTAAAGGCTCCCAAAATTGAAGGCTGGGGAAGGAGTTGGGCAGCTCTCCTTGTGCAAGTGACTCCAGGTGTCTTGGAGAGTGGGCAGTTGTTAGCTGTGACAGTTCAGGTTTCACGAAGTGATAATGCTCTTAGCTGCACTGCTGGTTGAGATTTGGTTGGATTCTGGGTAGGGAATGAAACAGTTTCATTTTTCTCTATTTTGATAAATTCTGTAGTATTAAATAGTCTAAAAATGCCCTAAATATGAATGTTGTGGCCCCAGAATGCTGTGTGAGAAGACTCTGTAAATGCTGTGTTCCTGTCTAGGGCTGCTGAAGTAATAATTTAAGTCTCTAATTTGTCATCTTTAAATATCAAATGTTATGTTTTAGTTCCTTTTTTACTTGAAGCTCTTAATTGCAGCAGTTGCTGTTGTTCAGCTGGCTGTCTACTAATTTTCTGAAGTGCTGGGGGTGTCAAATAATATCAGGAACGTGTAACTGTATAGCAGTACTTTTCTGAGTAAGCAGAGGCATGGCTGGTAATTGATGCGTGGAGAGAAGGAGTGGGCTCTCTTTTTGCCTGCTACTTTGTTTTTCCTTTTGCAGACAGATAAAGACCAACATAGGAATTCAAATGAAAATGACATTCAGTCTACTTACTGCTGTTCACTAATATTCTTTGACAGGAGTGAAAGGTTTTCAGTTGTGCCCTGGCTCTCCTACAGAAGAAAGATGAGAATTGATAATAAAATTCTAGGAAAAAGTGCTGAAGAGGCTGTATTTTTAATTACTCGTTCTTCTAGAAATAGTGATGCTAAACCAGATACCAAGTCTGGCACCTGGGGAAATAGATCTGTGCTATTTGCAGGCAAGAAGTAAATGTTCTGTACAGTAAATACAATCAACATATAATGAGCAGCTGTGTTTTTCTGGCCTGCAGTGCATTCTACTTTAATTGCTTTTAAAAAAAGGGCACCTGAACCCTGTGGAGGACTCTGGGGGGGTTCAGGGCTATGCCTGCAAGCACACATGGTCAGCTCAGCCCTGGTTCCATCGCAGTGCTGTGTTGGGGATCTCACTGAATGCCTTTCTGAATTCCAGCCACAACTGTGTGCTACAGAAAACAAATCTGGAAAGGGGAAGTGGTGGATGTACGTAGACATGAAGTACGTGTGAGCATTTTTCTGTATGAGAGTGCTAATTCTCAGAAACAAAGCCTTGCCATCATTAACATCATATTTGAACTGGAGTGCTTAATACAGACTGTACACCGAGAGCAGGACTGGAAGAAACCTTGTAAGAGTGGTAGTGAGTTAGCAGAAAAAGGTAAAATTCACTGTCCTGGTTTGTAGTACTGTCCTACTCCAGGAGTAATGATCTGGTTTGGGTTCTCAGTGATGTCCAAACAGTAGGTGGTAAAAGTGTCGGGGAGATGTGTCAGAACGTCCCTGTGAACCTCTGATAGAGCTGTGAGTGGTATTTTGAAAAGCCTTAGTGAGTTTTTGCCTTCAGTGCTAGCGGCACAGAAAGCATTGCTGGATGTCCTAACTTTGGAAAAACGCAGCGGTGCCCCTGGGTGTGCTGTCAGGGATGACAGACAGGTGTTCACTGCGTCCTCAGGCTGCCCTTTGTGGGGCTGGGTATTTAAGCAGAAGTGAGAGAAGCAGTTGGATGCAGATGAGGATGTGGCAGTTGTAGTGGGGTCACTTGCACACCTGGGTAGCTGCTCTGTGTGGCAGAAGGGAAGAGCCAGCAGGATGGTGGGCTGCTTAGCAGAGTGCAGTGATGCACAGTTTAAAAGTACAGGCCTTAGAAAGGTCACTTTGGAGACAATTTGAAGAAGCACTTAAGCACTAAATAACTGCTGTTCTAAACAAACATAGCTTATCTTGGAGAACTTCATTTCTTGTGTTTCTTCCAAAATAAAGAAGTGTTTGGAGCAGGCTGTAAGCCGTAGTCTGAAATGCACCTAAAGCACGAAACCTGGAACTGGCAGTTCCCAAGTGTCACTGTAGCATCCATCTCACTTGTGTGTGTGCAAATACTGAATTCAAAGATGAAATGAACCTTTTTTTTTTTTTTCCTCCATTTTCCTCTTTGGCAGTTGGAGAGTTAAGCTTACTCAGACTTTCTAAGTAGTGTTTGCACAGTCATGCTGTGGGGTAAAATACATGGAGCCTTCAGTAGCAGGAGTGTTGTCAGATGAACCCTACACGTGTGGAGTTGTAGGGCTGTTAAAGCATTAAGTTTCCACTAACTGATAAATACGAATGATCTGTCCATGTCAAAGCAGCATGTCTGTGTTCCTGCTGCTGCTGCTTTAGCTTTCAGCATGCTGATCTTTGTGGTAAAGCATCCTGCTCTAATTTCTGTTTCCTGATAATTAAAAAAAAAAAAAGCCTGTTAGCAGGTGGTGGTTTTCTTTATGTACAGTAGAACTTAATTGTGAACAGCCAACTCCAAATACTGAGTTTGTGAATTCCAGGGTACTTCCTTTCGTAAGGAAATTGGTAAAGGATGTTAATGCTAAGCTGTCCCCTAAACGTGACTTCAGAAGGTGAAGAAGTGAAGGCAGCCGAAAGGAGATGTGGCTGAGAGTAGGGGGAGTTGACTGGAATCACTTCAGGCAGTACAAGCATGCTTCATTCCTGCTTGCTGAAGAATCTTACTGAAATATGGAGTAGTCACCTGAATGTAAAAGCTGAATAAGGATTCAGAATTTCAAGTGCAGATACACCGAAGTACAAGGGCATAAAAAAGGGCATTTGGAACAGTGTTGTACAGCTTGTTGTACAAAATCACAAGTATGCTGGAGAAAAGCATGTTTGGCAGTTTGTTTTCAGATATCAATTCTTACTTGCTTAGCAGTTTTTCTTGACCATTCAGACGTTCAGGTTTGTATGTAGGCTACAACTTCTGCTCCTGTATCTGGAAGCAGGAGATGGTTTTGTTTTGATATAAACAGGTTTTCTGAAGGTGAGCAGACCTGAAAGAGTAGATGAGCAGGCAGCAATTGCAGCTTGTGAACAAGATGTGGTGGGATTTGTTGCCATACAGTAGTGAGCTCTCCTGAAAGTACAAGTTCTCATGCATTCTAGGAGTGTGAGTGCTGCTCGTAGAACTTACTGGGGAGCATCTCCGTAATCCAGAGATAAAATTGAAGGGGAATCTTGAACTTGTGTCATTAGCTGAATTTGTAAAGGAGAGTTCAATTCCAGATTTGGCTTGCTTTGAAACTGAAAGCAGGTGTTCTTGTTATTCTCAATTTACAGTTCCTAAACAAAAGATCTTAATGCTTTATGAAGCTAATCAATAAACTGATGACACTTGTGATTTCATTGGGCATCCCCTCTAAGTGTGTACTAACAATGCTGTTCTTAGAAATAGCTTTTATGGGGACTGGCTGGTTAAAATGGTGGTGATTTGTCGTGCTGAATTCTGGGTCGCCCTTCAAGATCTTAGAGGAAAATGTGAATTGTAGTGGGGTTACAATCTGGGCCAGTGTAGAGTCTTCAGCTAAACTTAAAACCGAAACATTTCTGACTTGCTCCCTTTAAGCGAGCATCTGTGGGGGCTGAAAATGTAGCCTTATGTACATTTTTCCCCCTTCTTGTATAGAAACATGCCTTACTATTAATGTAGATAGTTTAGTTTAATGGAAGGTGGCAGTTTACTGCATTTCTGCCTGTGAAATTTTAGTTTGATATTTGAGTTCTGTGTGGTTTTGGTTGTATTTTGGGTTCCTTCCTTCCCCTCCTTTTGCTGTCTGGAGCTAAATATAGCAGAGCAGTGCAAGGCTGTATGCTTTAAACAAACAGCTCAAAGGGAAGCTTAGTTCTGAAGGATGATGGCCTTTCTGCTATAAAGGTGCGTTAGGGCTCTTAGGAACTTGCTGGGGTGTATTTATGTATGAAGGACTATAACATAGATGTGTTTATATACACAACTCCTACATATTTTGATATAGTATTTTCTCGTTTTATATTTTGTTCAGCATTTACAGCCGAACAATACCAGCAACATCAACAACAACTGGCACTAATGCAGAAACAGCAGCTTGCACAAATTCATCAACAGCAAGCAAATAGTAATTCCTCTGCCAACACATCACAGGTGAGGGATTTGTCTGTGCTATGATTTATCCCTCATTGTTTCCCACCAGGGTTCATCTCTAATTGTCAACTGTTGCCATAGAACCTTGAAACTAACCAACAGGAAAGTGGCTTTCGCCTGAATCTACATCATAGCCATTCTGTAAAGTGTTTAGAAGGGACACTGCAGGTGAGTGTGGCAGGCATTGCCTCTGCTCCCTCTTAACAAAAAAAAAAAGATGGGTCAGTCAATTAATTAAATATTCAGAGCCTTAGGAATATGAATTGCTAAGATCTCCGGCTGTGTCGTTACCCTCTTGGCACTGGGAGACTTCAGAGCAGGGTATTTTCTTAGTTAACAACTAAAGGTAGCTTCTAAATATGTCCTTTGTACAGATGAGGAAGTGTCTAACGTTCAGAAGTGTGAGGTGTTTGCACTGAGGATGGACACGTCTTTAAAAACGTTCAGAAGTTACTGGCAATCTGAACATCTGAGGCACTGAACTGGGTTTGGAATTTCATGAGAACAGTTTGACCTGTGAAACAACATTATTCCATAGGATTTTGAGAATAAGTTTCTTTGTGTTTTAAATAGTTGTGGGGACTTTCATATCTGTTATTGTGATGGAGCTAAAAGTGCACAGAGAAATAGCAGTTCAGCTCTTACCTAGTTGTACCAGTTGTCTGCAGTTTAGTCTTGCGAGAATGACTGGGCTGGTTCTGATTTACATGGATGGATTTTTGTTTCACTAGTATGTGCATAGCTTAAAAATGAGGAGAGTACTGACTCCTGGAAGCCTCAATCACATGTGTGTGCCACCGTTGTTCTTTTTAGGGTTTTGTTTCCAAGACACTGGATTCTGTTAGTGCTCAATTCGCTGCTTCAGCTTTGGTTACATCAGAACAATTGATGGGATTCAAAATGAAGGATGATGTGGTGCTTGGAATTGGGGTGAATGGCATTCTTCAAGCCTCAGGTACGGAGCTGTTGATGCAGAGTTTGATCTCGTCTTAGGGTTTATTATAGTTTGTTTGTTTTTTTTAAACTGGAGATAAGAGTTTCTGTCTGGGGTTGAGTAACTTCTGCAAAATGGACTTACTGCTTTGTTTCTCTTTTGCAGGAGTATACAAGGGCTTACACCTCAGTAGTACTACGCCTACAGCACTTGTCCATACAAGTTCATCATCAACAGCAGGTTC